GGCTGGAAGGACAGATTGGAGTCTAGAATGATGCCTAGTACTCTGACTTGCGGGGTGGGGCTGATGGTAGTGCTGTTGGTCGTGATGGAGAGGTCAGGGGGGTCACGGGCTGGGGGGAAACTAGCAGTTCGGTTTTGGCAAGGTTTAATTTGAGGAAGTGGAGTGACATCCAATCGGATAGGTCGTTCAGAAGGCTATTTACGTCAGTGATCTCCACTAGCTTGCAGGTCATGTGCCAATCAACTGTCGTGCTGCATTGTGAACACAGCAGGTTGCTCATTTAGCACAGACACCATTCAGGGTTCACTTTGCATTTTCTCAATGAATGCAAAGTGGTCTCTGACTGGATGAGCAGGGAAGTTCTAGTCTCCAGCTTGTCCAATCACTGAGAAGTTTCAAAATGTTCTTTGAATGGTGCCTGTGCAGAGCAGGCAACCTCCTGTGTTCGCCAAGGAAAGGGGTAGCCACTCGGCACAGAACCAGGAAGTTAGTGGAGATCACTGGAGTATTGGTGCTTACCGTGGTGACTTCCAGTTTCTACAAGGATCCCTCAGGTATGGCACATACAAACCTTCATCAGTCCAAGCTGGATCAATGTAAATATGCAAAAACTGCTATACCTAAACTTCCGCTGTAGGTACCCTACCACCACTCTTCAGAGTAGCCGGACATGGCAATACAAATGCCCAACAATGCCCCCCACCCCCCCCCCCCCCCCCCCAATGACTTCTCCATCACATCCAACAGGCCCTCCCCACAAGCCAGAGTACTTGGTGTCATTCTAGACTCCAATCTATCCTTCCAGCCCCAGGTGCAATTGCTAACTCATGCAGACTCCACCTCCGCAACATCTCCAAAATACACCCATTCCTAATCCCAGAAACTACTAAGCAACTCATCCACTCCCTCATCATATCACGACTCGACTACTGCAACTCCCTCCTCACTGGCCTGCCTCACCACAGGCTATCCCCGCTTCAGTCGATCCTGAATACGGTGACCAGACTCATCCACCTCACCAACCGGTCCGTTTCCGCCACCCCCCTCTGCCAATCCCTCCACTGGCTGCCGATTGCGCAACGGATCAAATTCAAAATCCTAACACGGACGTACAAAGCTGTCCATAACTCTGCCCCGAACTACATCACCGACCTGATATCCAAAAAACACCCAAAACGTATTCTCCGCTCCTCACAAGACCTCCTCTCTAGTTCCCTGGTCTCTTCATTCCATGCCCGCCTCCAGGACTTCTCCAGGGCATCACCCATCCTCGAACTCCTTACCCCAATACATCAGACTATCACCTACTCTCCTCTCCTTTAGGCGCACCCTGAAAACCCATCTCTGCAGGGAAGCCTACCCCACCCCCTGCTAACTGTCAATCTCCTCCACTCTTCCTACCACTCCATCCCCCACAGCTTTTCCTCCCGTACCACTATCCCCTCCCTCCTAGATTGTAACCTCCAAGGAGCAGGGCCCTCGAACCCCTCGCGTATCGCACTGTATTTTTATTGTACTGTCTCCCATTGTAATGTACAGCGCTGAGCAAACTGTTGGTGCTAAATACTGTATAATGAGAAAAATGCTTATGTTTCAGCCAAATCCTCACAGGGGACAACTTCTAGAAGTCTGAAATATCTACATATATATCTATATATCTACATATATATCTATATATCTATACATATATATCTATACATATATACACACACACATATACATATATCTATATCTCTGAAACATACAGGGAAATACCTTGCCAATTTGGTGACCACCACAAAAAAAAAAATATCCAATTCAAGCTTAATAAGTATACACAATACAATAAAACAGGACAGCTTAAATTTCAATGCGCTGGCTAGTTGGCTCCCGCAGCTCTTGCCCAGCCCCGTCTATTTCTGCTCTCTAAGCATATCCAGCTCAGCATGACTCCTTTTCCCATTATTTTCTTCCAAGAGAAGAGATAAAGGGCTGCAGGCAGGATCTTGCTGGTAGGTGCTGACATGGGCTCAACCCCTTATGCCTGCCTTGACCTGTCCTTGGTGCTCTGACATCAGCCTGACCAGATCATCACTTCAAAAGCAGACTGACAAACTTGGAGGACATCCACAGACTTACAATAATCATTGCCTAATCTGGCCAATATTCATTTGACGTAGAAATGATGCGTCAAGTCTACCAACCTGGGCTTTCACCACCCAACCAAACAAATCGTCTCTTGGGAAGTGTTATTGAGTGTACTTCTAGGACAACACTGGGAAAACCAGATACAAGTCTACATGTTCAGCCAGTGCAACAGTTCATACATATAGATCTAGGAAATGAATATACGATCATCCTACAGAACGAACTTCCAGCTGTCTGGTAAATAAAAGTACCTGTAGACCACAGATGATCAAACTACACTAAATCTTCTATTGAACACTAAAGGCTACCATCACCCCACCACAAGAAGCAATGCTAGCTCCAGGTAAGGAACGGTCACCCCACCCACCAGCAGCCATGGGACCTCTGGGTAAGGTGCCACCACCACCACACCAGAAGCCATCATAGCTTCAGATCAGGAACCATCACAGTGCGCTACTGGGCATCATAACCCCACCAGAGGAAGCCACAATAGCTCCAGGTCAGGAGCCATCACTTCACCAGCAGAAGCCATGATAAACCTTAAGTCAGGCCACATTAAAAATAGCACCGTTCAAATGCCTCCCATCAGTTCTCCCTCCACTAGTAGTACATCTGACTCCATAAAACAAATAGCAAAAATAGGTGGAGAACATCACATGGGATCAACCACATACACTAGAAAGCTAACAGAACCTACAGCTATAGTCCCATCTTAGCACTATCCTACTGATGCATTTCATCCTGATTGGGCTTAATACTACAAAGACCTATGGTCAGGCACCATCACCCCACCTGCAGAAGCCATGATAACTTCCATCAGACCCCACCTGCAGAAGCCATGATAGCTTCCATCAGACCCCACCTGCAGAAGCCACGATAACCTCCATCAGACCCCACCTGCAGAAGCCACGATAACCTCCATCAGACCCCACCTGCAGAAGCCACGATAACCTCCATCAGACCCCACCTGCAGAAGCCACGATAGCCTCCATCAGACCCCACCTGCAGAAGCCACGATAGCCTCCATCAGACCCCCTCCACCTGCAGAAGCCACGATGGCCTCCATCAGACCCCACCTGCAGCCTCCATCAGACCCCACCTGCAGAAGCCACGATGGCCTCCATCAGACCCCACCTGCAGAAGCCACGATGGCCTCCATCAGACCCCACCTGCAGAAGCCACGATGGCCTCCATCAGACCCCCTGCACCTGCAGAAGCCACGATAGCCTCCATCAGACCCCACCTGCAGAAGCCACGATAGCCTCCATCAGACCCCACCTGCAGAAGCCACGATAGCCTCCATCAGACCCCACCTGCAGAAGCCACGATAGCCTCCATCAGACCCCACCTGCAGAAGCCACGATAGCCTCCATCAGACCCCACCTGCAGAAGCCACGATAGCCTCCATCAGACCCCACCTGCAGAAGCCACGATAGCTTCCATCAGACCCCACCTGCAGAAGCCACGATAGCTTCCATCAGACCCCACCTGCAGAAGCCACGATAGCTTCCATCAGACCCCACCTGCAGAAGCCACGATAGCTTCCATCAGACCCCACCTGCAGAAGCCACGATAGCTTCCATCAGACCCCACCTGCAGAAGCCACGATAGCTTCCATCAGACCCCACCTGCAGAAGCCACGATAGCTTCCATCAGACCCCACCTGCAGAAGCCACGATAGCTTCCATCAGACCCCACCTGCAGAAGCCACGATAGCTTCCATCAGACCCCACCTGCAGAAGCCACGATAGCTTCCATCCATCAGACCCCACCTGCAGAAGCCATGATAGCTTCCATCAGATCCACCATCACCCCACCAGCAAAAGTCATGATAACATCCATCATACCCCATCACCCCACCAGCAGAAGCCATGTGTTCAAAAGTTTATTGCAAAACCATAATATCACATAGGTTGATATGCCTGGTGTGTTGACCTCTGTGACATTACAGTGTTAAAATAAATTGTTGAAGCGTCTTTGGAGCGCCGGGGACTTTATCCTCAAGACCCTGGTTTGGCATGCCACCATCTGTTATGGTCACTAAAAAGGACCATGCAGCTCTAAATATGCAGCAATATATAGGGGCGCATCTGCCAAGATCCCTGTGTAGAGGTGTATTGTCTGTTATAATCCCTCATAGAGGTGCATTGGCTGCTAGAACCCCCATATGAGGAGTCATACTATGATCCCTGCATAGGGATACGTGTCTACTATGATCTCTGTATAAGAGGTACATGTCAGGATCTGTGTATAGAGGTGTATTTAATCAGCTAGGATCTGTACATAAGGGTGCAAGCTAGGATCTGTGTATATTGGTGTATACTGATCTGTATATAGAGATCCATGCCATGCTCTGCATATGGTGTATGTATGTGCTATGATCTGTATATAGGGCCCCATGCTATGATCTGTATATAGAGATCCATGCCATGCTCTCTGTATATGGAGTGTATGTGCCATGATCTGTATATGGAGTGTATGTGCTATGATCTGTATATAGGAGTGTATGTGCCATGATCTGCACATAGGGGCCCCGTGCCATGCACTGTACATAGGGCCCCGTGCCATGCACTGTACATAGGGCCCCGTGCCATGCACTGTACATAGGGCCCCGTGCCATGCACTGTACATAGGGCCCCGTGCCATGTACCTGCTAGGCTCAGTGCCGCATCCAATGCTCCAATACATATAAGCAAGCACCGCCAGTAGCCATGCTGCCCCATTGGACCACCTGCTGAACCCCCCCCAGCCCAGCTGTGGTCGCCCCATTCCCAGAGCCGCCCCGCCAGGCCCCAAGCACACCTCACCCCCCGTGCCTAGGCAGCAGCCCCAGGCCTCGCCTCCAGTCAGCCCGTTTCCCCACGGAAGGATACTGAGCGCCAGCATCTTGCTCTGGTAGTCGAAGGCCACCACCTCTCCTTGGAGCCGCGTTTTTCCTGGCAGGTCCGGCATGAGACCTGGGAGCCGACACTGAAATATTCCCCGGAGCCGCCATCTTCCATCCGGCCTGCGTGACGTGCTGCTCTAACATCCCCCGACCTCACCGCGCAACCTTAAAAGCAAAACGTCTGCGAAGAGAATGCCGGGAATTCACTTTTTATAACCAGTGCCCGCCCACCTCGCGAGAACTTCAGGCCGCCATTTTGAAAGCTGGCACCCGCTTGCGTTAATGGACGGGGCGGCCGCCATCTTGACGTGCGACGTGCCACATAGAAAGCAGAGGGCTTAGGCTTCCGTGCTGGAGCTTCGCTCCGCCATTTTGAAAAAGGGAGGCGTTTCAGGAAACTTTATTGACGATGAAAGAGGCAGTACAAATATGCAAGAGGAAACGAAATGGAGTTTTTAACCTTTCTTTTGTGTGAGGGAAGCAGATTGTTGCTATACCATGCTTGCAAACAACAATAAAATATATTTTGGGAAAATGTCTTTCATGGACTCTTTACGGGAAAAAAAAAAGGCAGGAAAAGAAAACGCTGGCCTCACGGGCGTGTTAGCGGCGTGTAACATACAAATCTGGCTTTCTGTGCCTGGGAAGCTGAGGCACTGCATAGAGCTGCCCATAGACATGAATGTACGCAGATATATGAGGTAGCAGAGAAGCCAGAATATAACCCACTACACACCCATAGGCATAAGGCCTAACATTTCACTGCCCATTCTGGAATCTTCTCTCAAAATATGAGAGAAACTTGTGCATTTGGTATACTTGTGTCCAGGGCCGTGGATAAGGGGGGTACCATTAGTCTTCCTGTACGGGGCCCAGGCCAGCAGGGGGGCCCGGGCAGTTGGGTGAATTGAATGTGGGAAGAGAGGGTGATCGCCATGCGGGGGGGTAATTACTGGAACCAATTCGCTGTATGGCTCTCTGCAGCATCTGAACGCTGCATTCTTCTCCTTTCCCTCTTGCTGGTTTTCAGCTGCTGCAGAGAGAGCCATACAGGGGATTGGTTCCAGTAATTACCCCCCCCCCCCCATACACCCACCAAGCCGATCACCCTTCCTGTACACTGATTCACCCAGCTGCCTGGGCCCCCACAATGCCGGATTCCCTTTTCTCCTTCCCTCCGGCAGATGCATCACACAATAGGACCTTTCAGGCTGGGTTCACACTGATGCGGTGCGGAATTTGCAGCGTTTTCTGTGCGAATTCCGCACCGCATCAGAATCGCACCTCATTCATGCGAACCAATGCGGGTGTGTGTATGTTAAGTTAACAACACAGTGAAATCGGTTTGCAAAATGCAGTGCGATGTGCAGAATCGTATCGCATAGGTGTGAATACCTATGCGATCAGATTCTAGTGCGGACCCAAAAAAGGGTCCTGCAGCTTTTTGGCGCGGGTGTGGTACGATTTGAGCCATACAAAACGTATGGCTCCAATTACACCGCACATAAATCGCATGTGATTTGCACAGAAATGCGGTGCGGTTCCTGTGCGAATCACATGCGATGTAACGCACCGCATGTATGTGAACCCTCAGGATGGAGAGTGAAGGAAGGGTCTGATAAATATGTCACATTAACCAGCCCCCTCCTTTCCTGAATCAACACGTTTGAGTGATCGGCACAGATCACTCACTGTGTTCATTCATAACTGAAGCATTACTATAATTATTATACAGGATTTATAGAGTGCCAACAGTTTGCTCAGCGCTTTACAAAACAAAAGGAGACAATACAGAAACGATACAGTTCAATACAAGAGGGTTAGGAGGGCCTGATCCTTGGCGCTTACAATCTAAGAAGCATAGTAAACTGTTTTTTTTAAGGGGGCCCTGTCAGGTTGGCTGTATGGGGCCCCCATGGTTTCTAACAGCAGCCCTGCCTGTGTCTCCCACTGTGCAATATGACAATATGGTTCCTTGCACCAGCCACTATGTCCCCATAGGAGACCGTAATCAGCAGTAGCCCAGATGTAATAGCCAGACTGGGGTTAACCCCTTTACGCCGGCCGCACACAAATGTGCGGCCTCCCGGCGTCTGGGATTAGACGCCGCGTGGCCGCACGTTTGCGTGCAATTAACAAAAAAACATATGTGCTGAGAGTGCGTGCCCCGCGCACTCCCAGCACACATGTCTGGTACTCACGGAAAGGTCCCGGGTCTGCTCTTTCGATCAGGACCTTTCCAGATCATGTGACCGTCATGATGACGCGTCACGGCAGTCACATGATCCCTAAACCCCGCCCGTCCCGCCTCCCGGCTTCTGGAACTCTTAACTGTCAGTCTTGCAATGCCTCATGGGACTTGTAGTTTGGCAACAGCTGGAGGGCCCCCAGTTTGACACCTGTACTCTAGAGGCAGTAGGTGGATCTGAGGAGTGGCTGGCTGCACTCTTGAGAGACCTCACCCAATCTCCAACAGAATGCTTGGCAAGGGGCTGAAACACCCTTAAAAGTGTTGGAGCCTGCTCAGTAGCAGGAGAGTGTGGGTGGAAGATGGAGAAGTGAGGCTGAGATGCAGGAGCCTGGGAGGGAGCTGAGGCTGGAAAGGGCTCACCTCCATATACCCAAAGAACCCCCATTGGGACTTTAATGCAGCAATAGGATCATAGATATAATGTAAGGGACATTTTGTTAAAAGAGATTTTTATCAACGTTATTACATACACATTTCTATTGTAATATTAAATACATGGTTTCTCCAGGCAGAGGGACCTTAAAGGGAAGAAGGCTGTAGGCTTCACTGGCCTCCTGAGAGAGGACCACCTGGCGGCAGGGAAGGAGTTGCCCAGCTGGTAGGCCTGGTAGCAGCCACCTACCCAACTGGTGATTCAGTGCCCTGATGATTAGTGTAGCCCCATCAGTGCCACCTGTCAGTGCCACATCAATGCCACATATCAGTGCCTACCAGTGCACATCAATGCCACATATCAGTGCCCATCTGAGCTGCCTTTCAGTGCCATCTATCAGTGCCAGTCAGTGCCACCTATCAGTGCCAGTCAGCGCCGCCAGTCAGTGCCACCTATTAGTGAACATCAGTACCGCCTATCAGTGCCCATCAGTGCCAATCAATGCCTCCTATCAGTGCTAGTCAGTTCTGCCTATCAGTGTCATATATGAGTGCTGCCTTTCAGTGCCCATCAGTGATGCCTGTCAATGCCCATCAGTGCCACCTACTAGTGCCTCCTCATCAGTGCCGCCTATCAGTGCCCATCAGTGCAGCCTATCAGTGCCCATCACTGCAGCCTATCAGTGCCCATCAGTCCCGCCTATCAGCGCCCATCAGTGCAGCCTATCAGTGCCCACCACTGCAGCCTTATTAGCGCACATCAGTGAAGGGAAAAAAATCACTTATTTACAAAATTTTATAACAGAAACTAAGAAAAAACTTTTTTTTCCCAAATTGTCAGTTGTTTTTGGTTTGTTTAGCAAAAAATAAAAAACCCAGAGGTGATTAAATACCAGGAAAAGAAAGCTCTATCTGTCTCAAAAAAAGATACAAATTTCATATGAGTACAATGTTGCATGACCGCAAAACTGTCATTCAAAGTGTGACAGTGCTGAAAGCTGAAAATTGGCCTGGGCGGGAAGGGGGTAAAAGTGCCCGGTAGGCGAGGGGTTAAAGGTGACAGTCACCTTAAAGGCCCATTCACACAGATGCAGTCAGAAACTCTCCCTATGTGTTTGTTTTGCATTCCCATTAGAACAGCATACCTAAAAAAATCTGACTTTTCCAGTCTTTCTTTGGAGTAGGTATACACAAAGGACTCTTGTATTGTTCACAATAGATTGCAATTAGGGGACAGGTTTTCGGGAGTGGTAAGTGCATTAACATAGAATGCAGAAAGTAAACAACAACACCTAACAATTTACATTAAAAAAACATAGTTTTAAACTGAACATTTACAAAGCTATGCAGCTGCCCTATTGTCTCATCAAGGCCCCCTCTGTACATTCAGTCTTCATTCAACAGTCTCCATATTAGCGCATATACCTTAGATTGTACACCCCTTGAGGGATGGGGACTGATGTGAATGTGCAATATATATGTAAAGTGCTGCGTAAATTGATGTCGCTATATAAGTACCTGTAATAATAATCATAATAATAGTAATATACTGTATAGCAATGGATAAATTAATGGCAGGTATTCCTGGGGGGAACTCATTGAGATGCTCCAGAAGCCCAGACAGCACAATGGCAGCTGAAGACATCCAATGTGTCCAAGAATCTAAAAAAATAAAAAGTCCCAATTTATAACTAACACTTGTAGAATTTTGAAATTTTTTGTTTTAAGAACATTTGTTTGATTTTCTAATGGTTAGTGGGGTCAAATTGATGATCATTTTTGACTGTATTTGGTAAAAAAAATCTACTACTGTATGGCCAGTTTTAGGCTAGGTTCACATTTGCGGGCTGGTTGTGGGTGCGGGAATCGCACCCGCAACCACACGCAGTCAAATTGTGCTGTACTTGCGAGATGTGTGGGGCTGCCATTCAATCTGCCGATTTTGGATGTGGGAACTTGTGGTCGCGTGGCCTTTTTTTATGCAGAAACGTGGGCACAGCAGCCAATTTAACCTCCTTGACCGTATTCCCAAGTGTAGCTCGAGGTAAAGTTCCAGTACCAAAAGCGGTAACCCCGAGCTACACTCGGGCTTACTATGCGTCGCTGCTCCGGGATCTGTTTTTCACTTACCTTGTCCTGCGCTCACGCGATGTCCCTCCTGCAGTGTCCCCTGTAATGTCCTCCGGCGGATGCCGGCATCTGTCATCTGGGTTCCGTCCTCTGCGATGTCGGGACGTACGGGGACTAGAACCGGTGGGAAATTTGAAAATGACAAAAAGTGACATTCACTAAATACACTAAAATCACATAGTATAACATTCCTGTATCAAAACATTTCACATACATTTTGTCCCGAGTGCTTTGTCCTGCGCCCTGCCTGCATTTTTACTGTTCTTTCTGCCTGGAAACTGAGAAACGTCCGCGGCGTCCAAAAAGCGTCCC